CAGAGCAACCCAGCGCTAAACGTCTGAGAGTCATTCATTTAATTACATTTGGAATGTTTTGAGCAACACCTCTCAACATGTATTGGCAGACATGAGATCCTCATTAGGTAAACAGTTTTAATTATCGTGGAAAGGTACAGCGAGAGATGGTTGGGTGAGACAATATGCTGCATGAGAGCTTCAGCGAGAACCCAATGAAAGAGGGACTGTACAAGGACACCTGGTTGTCTTTGTCTTTAATGTATTTGTTAAGACAATTATGTAAAGCGCACGTTATTTTCGTTTGAATTGAACCTAAAATGATGCCGCTGTTGTTTGCATGTCTTCCGTTTTGTAAGATGTGTTTATTTTTCTGGGTTTTGGGGCTAAATCGGACTCCCTCGGGACTAGTGCCACAGTTTATTTAGCGGAGGAATCGTTGCGGAGCTGCAGTGTGAGAACCTGTGTGGGTGACTTTTCTGATCTGTCTTCACGTGTCAGTGTTCACGTCGAGGTCAAAGCAGAAAGCTGACAGTCTTTCTCATCTGCACATTTTCATTACGAGAATAAATAAACATCAGTTAACCAAATATGCCGAGAATTCACAAATTGACTCCGTGTCAACAGAGGCTTCTCAAAGATTCTGCTTCCTGATTACAAAACAGGTCAGGGATGCTGCTCCTCTGATACTGCCGTCTCCAGAAGAGTGTTGCTCTTGTTCACAAATATTGATTGAACTATCAGGGATCATACGAGCAACCTGTGTGGATTCTATTTCAGGCTGAAGACTTTAATGTTTTCCAGGGTTGAACCTGCCACTAGAGCCAGAGGGAGAAAGTCAGCAAGCAGAGGTGCAGCATGCAGAGATAACTCAGTAGTCAGATTAAAGTAGATGGATGACGGAGTGTAGATACTGGTACAGACATTTTTTTTTCCTTCTGCACCCCCGACCTCTCCCTCCTCCCTCCGCTCTCCCTCCCTCTCACCCTTATTCCCTCAGTTCTTTGCCTAATAAGCAGCGTTCCTGTGAGCTGATGCAAGGCAGAGGAAACAGAACAGGCGTTCTGGGACTGCTGGAAATATTCCCACATGAGGCATAACATGATAAAGACTTATTATCTCACTAAGCTGCTGTAAACACAGTTGCACACATAAATACAAGCTGTACACAACTTGTCTCCCCCCCACCCTCTTCCTCACACACAAAAAAACATCAAACTGGTTTGAGTTTTTATTTTCCTCCCTTTTTCCCTGACAAGCCAGTGACCAGTAGGAATCTGACGGGACCAATCCCTCAGACAAAGCCTGAGAATCAGCTCAGCTCGCTGGGCATTCGGCTCGGCCCGTCTGAACTCCAAACACCCGGAGAGGTGTGAAGGAAGGGGGCCAGAGCGAGACAGAGAGACGAGTTCTGATAATTATTAGGAGTGAGAAAATGTTTGGGAACTTCTTAACGAGCAACGTGTCTTAACAGGGCTCGTCCTAATTCTCTTCCCTCGCTCATCAATCACGCCAGACACACACATAAACACCCAGCATTCGCTGTCAGCTAATCCATTCCAGTACAAAGGTAGATGTCAGCCTCTTGGACAAACACACACACACACACACACACACACATGCATGCATGTATATGCCAGAGTCATCACAAAACATGTTGAGTCCCATTTCCCTTCTTCTCTTCACTATGCCAATTAAAAGGCAAAGCAGGCCTTTTATTTCCCTCTCCTCCAAACACATTCTTTATCTTCTCTGATCTGCTCCCCTCCCTTGCTCAGTCCCCTCGGGGTAGTGGGAATGTCTCTCCACACACACTCTCAGGTCAGGGGTTCAGCCTGACAGGGTTTTGGGAGATTGGAAGCGCGAGAAAAAGACATGCAGAAAGAGTGGCGGCGGGTTGAGGCAGGCCTCTGAACGGGTAGCTTCTCTTTACTGCCAGAAACACTTAAAGCTCCATGTATATGTGTGTATAAGTGTGTATAAGTGTGCTTGTGTGTGAATGCAACCCTAATCAGAGACTTCTGGGTAGATTTATGCCCCTGCCTTCTCCCCGACCTCCATTACACCAGCTTATATACACCCATTACAGGATATGACAGAGTACACACCCTTTAGATGAGCATACCACCACTCTGCCTGTGTGTGTGAAAGGAGGGCATTGCATACACACATTCACACACCCCACTTTGCCATTAGGTCCCTGTCCACCTGCCGGCTCTGCTGCTTGGACTACCTTCATCTCCCTCTCCGCTGCTAATAAGGTCAATGGGAGAGAGAGAGAAGCAGATGGGTGTACAGTACATTATGGTGCGGCTCAGTTTTTCTTGGGCCGAAGGATGATTCATGCTCAGTGAGATGTGTGATGATGTGAGGAGTTTCTGCTGCAGCGCAAAGTCAGTGGACTGTGTGGCAAGACGTGCTGATCACTCAGCGCTGCGCATTGTTTCATAACGTTACCTCCGGGAGTCATTGAACCTATCGGGGGTCTGGATGCAGGAGGAAGTGGAAGGGATGGGGCTGAGGGAGGAGCGAGAGTGGACGAGCTTTAGATGTCACAATAACGCTCCGACTTCTCACTCACCAAATCACAGGAGGGGGATTTGTGGTTTTCGATCGGTGCCGCTTGTTAGGGAGAAGCTTTGAAGCGGCGGAATCTCTCAGCTTTAGGAGGAGATGGCCAAAATTTTTACTAGAATAAAATGAAAAAACACTTTTTGAACTTTAGAACAGGAGATGAATAAAGGAAAAGTTGAATATCATTTTTATTTTGATTTTAGTTGGAAAGACTCTGATTACAAGAAAAATAAAACATCTTCTGACTGAACTTCAAAAATGTGGACTCAAGTCAAGTGACTTGGACCCTAGTCACAACTCAAATCTCACAACAGACTTTAGACAGACACCAACAACTCAAGTTTGGTAAAAGGACTGGTTTACTACTCAAAAGACAAAGTCCAGGAGTAAGACCTAGTCCAAGACTGAACTTGACTTGGGCCATGATTTTAAACTTGGACTTGCTTGACTTGTGACTTGATTTGACTCCATTCTCACATGTTTTAGGGATGATCTGACCTGGGATCTGTATTTTTTGAGACCTGGACATGACTTCAGGACTTACAGTTTTGGGGACTTGAACTTGACACAAAGTTTGCATTTCTTGACACTTGGACTTCACTCTAGACGTGCATGTTTTTGGACATGACCTGACTTGAATGGAAAGATTGATTCAGATGCAGATCTCAGTGCGCAAATTAGAACTTTCTGAAAAACAGATTTTAACAACACAGCTTGGAGCCAGATACATTTGCCGTGGCGTTGCCAAACACACAGAAGCAGACATTTTACTTTAAATGTGTGGTTGACTGAAAACCCATTTTTAATGATTATTTATGATTATAGTCAGTCACTCTTGAGTTTTTCATGCAGGCTGAACATGAAAACAATCTCCTACACCTATCTGTTGTGTTAGTTTCTGATAGAAAACTGACAGTGAAATGCTAGGATTTAAAAATCCTCACACTGTGATGTCACATTGTGAATTTGCATTCACGACTCCATCCATTTTGGCTCGCTCCTGCCCACGGGAAGCCTTTTTAAAAATGTTTTTGAAGCAAGGAGAGAGACCGGAGAGTGTGTTGGTGATAGTGACTTTGCAACATGGCTGAACGCATTCTGTTAGCCAATCAGAAGCAAGGTGTGTGCATATCATTTATATTAATGAGCAATCCTGCTGTTTTCAGTCCACCTCTGCACCAGCAAACTTCTGCATCTCAGAACAAGAGCCTCATAACTTTTTTTATTGACTCATAAGGCATTGATTTACTCTAGAGAACCCTGCAAATGTATTGAATAAGCGAGTAAACCAAGTTATTTTGCTGACTTCCTCAAACTTGCTGCTTAGCAGGACAATTCATTACTGAGGAAATATGTTTTTAAGAGCAAAGCATCAATAGAGCAAGCCTACCAGCCCATCTGCCTGCACACGCATGTTCAGGTCCCTGTCCGTCTGCAAGCATCTGGCAGCATTCCATTAACAAAGCCACCAGCGATCTCTCACACTCTTACTCGCTGTCAGAGTCAGAGGAAAGAAATAATATGCACACGCACACATCCAGGTTCACCTGTTCCTGCCTCAGAGGAAAAGAAAAAGTTGGATTCTCTCATGAAATGGCTTTTATTGTTTCCCCAGAAGGCAGCCGCGCACAGACGGTGTGTAGAATGCCTCGATGGCGTTTTGTGTACCCGCTGCGGGTTGCTGACATGAAAGCGGCAGAACTTTCCCCCTTTTAAAAGTATGCACTTGTATGCGTTAATTTCTAAAACTGGATGAGGCAGAAAGACGAGATTGAGCTCCGTCATTAGGAGTTCACAGCCTGTGTGCTGGTATGAAGGTTTGTTTTGTTTTTGTGTTATCTGCCTTGTGTGTGCTCCGCGCGCGTACGTCTCTGCTCTCCCACGCTTCGGCTCCTAACGATGGCAAATGCTCCTGTGTGTTTGCAAGGCGTTGTTTCGCCAAAAAAAAAAAAAAAGAAAAAAATAACAACACATCCAGGAACGGCTCGTTTTGTCAGGGTCTGTGGAAGGAACACGCTCTAATTAGAGAGGCCCTCTGAAGGTGCATCAAACAGATGCTTCTCAAAGACCAACCTGCTCCTGGCTCACACAGAGCACACGTGCCATATCTGATTATTGAAGAAATGTGTGTGTTATTTAACTATATAGCTGGGTATTAGCAGCCTTGTCAGTTTGGATTTGCTGCTAATCTGATCCTAACCTGTGTGTGCTCCATGACACACGCATTCACATGCAACCAAAGAAACTTGTTTTCCCTCACTACTCTTCTTTAGTAAAATCCTCCACCAGAAGGTCTTCTTGACAAAACACGTGCACACACACCAAACACACACTGGAGCTCACAGTCAGTCTCTTTGCTCCCTTGTTTGTTTAATCAGATAAGAGTAGGCATTTGTTCCGACTGCCCAGGTCACTTTGTTTTTGTTCCCCTCCCACCTCACTCTCAG